GGTTTAGGGTTTAGGGTTGCTACAGTTTTCGGCCCTGGAGCTTTTCTTCTGGAGTCTAAAGCAACACTTAAGGAAGCTAGCTTAAGTTAGCACAATGAGGAGAGCGTATGATTTAGCCTAAACCCTTGGTATGGTATCTTAAAGCAAGGGAGGACAACATCTAAGCTGCAACATGGATCACGAAGGTAGCTGGTTCGCAGCCTTATACAGTAGTTTTGCTGCAGGGCATGATGATGTGTGGGCACTGTAGGCACATGGAGCACTGGAGTTTCAGCATCTTCGTAGGCTCTTAACAGCTGCTAGATGTTTCCTGACAGAGCTTTCCACAGAGAAAATCACGCGACGGATGTTCGGATTCCGGAATGTCTGCAGAGCCAAATGCTCAAATATTTGAGGCAGCTTCTGCCAAGTTTCCGTAGTGTCATCATGTGATATGTAGGCTTGCATCTTCTGTAGCAGAGCACGTGCTCACAACTCAACTTTGAAACGAGTTGTGGTTCAAGATGGCGAGTCTAGTTGAGAGCCCCGTTTCCCCATGGGCCTTAACCCGTCAGTGATCATCGTCATATGTAAGCTGAAGCCAAATTCAGATGCCTGTTCGGTGCGGTTGAACGGATTTGTTAAGGCGCTTCGTGGCGCACATCCAGCAACTGGACATGGAGAGCAATGGTGTCTCAGCAGCAATACTGGGATAACAAGGAAGCCCCTTTACACTCCGAATTCAGAATGTGCCCTCAGTGGTGGGGAATTTTTCGGACGGGGTGGAGTCTTCAGACTGCACGACATTCCCCGAGCCTGTGAGGCACGCAACCTTTGAAGAAGCTGAAGCTCGGTTCGTCCTACCGAAAACCCTGCACACCCTGATGTAATGCGCACAAACCCAGAAGCCTACAGGCCGCTGAAGGCCCCAAGTTGTGCGGATCACGAATCACGAACCCGTACTTGGAGGTTCATGGGTAGTTATAAGTAGGGTTATAAGTAGGGTAACTATAATTATAACCCATATTAGGGGACTTATAACCCCACTTATAACTACCCATGAACCTCCAAGTAGCAATCTTTGTCAGTCCCATACGCGTTCAGCCTCTGAGGCAAGCGTGTGCAGATGGATGGCGCTGAATGCACGGCTGCTCGGATGCACTCAGGACTTGATCAAAGTCAGTGTTTCAGGGTTTTGGCCTCCACTCTAAGATTCTCTCTCCCAGGCAACTTGATCGAACTCAGTGTTTCAGGGTTTTGGCCTCCAACCCAAGATTCTCCTAGGCAGAACATCTGTTTCATGTTATTTGCCTGTACTCATTACTCTTGTTGTTGCTTTCCTTATTGGGATTGTCAGTATTCCTCGTGTGTTTTTGTTTGGTGTGCTGCTCATGTCGAGCAGACTCAGACCTTTTCCTTTGCAGCTGCGGTCTAAACAGCCTTTGGGTGGTTTTCACTTGGAAGCAAGTTTGGTGGACTCTATGTACTGCCGCAATGGCTAGACTAGGATTGTCAGGTATCGGGGCTGCCAGGAGATGACGAAGGGGATGTTGCTACGATCAGACTAAACAGTAGCTAGATCGCTTGATCTCTGCTGAAAAGGACCGGTGCCCGTGAAGCTACCCGACGTCGGAAGAGCAAACCCTCAGCTTCCCAATACAGGGGCCTTAACACGTGGTAGATGAGGGTTCTCACTTCTGGGGTGTATATTTTCCCCCTATAATATGTTTAGTGCTGCAGGACAGTACAGAGACTATAAGGCCTATTCAGACCATCTAGTCGCATCATGTTGAGCTTATGGCACCCGGGACTTTAAAAAGTTGTGGAAGTTTGTTAAAGATTTCGAGGGAGAGGGGCCAGATAGGGGGTTTTGGAATTCGCGTTTCGGACGGCGGCAACTTCGGGGGAAGATTGATTACAGTCCGGCGCCAGGTGCCCACAGGTGCCATCTACTTCGGCGAACCCGGTACGAACGGCCAGCACAGCTTCTACCAGCTGATGCACCAAGGATGCTATTTGTTGGAGCACGGGCGGGGCAGTTCTAGGAAAGTCTGGTAGACCGCTGATGAACTTTTCGCCGCCTCTTGTAGAGCGATGGCTTGACTGACATAAATCAGAGTCTTGCAGCCCCAACCCCCACAACCCAAGTCGCTAGATCCCATCTGTGCAGCCTTTTCTATGGGTCGTCGGTTCTCAGTGCGATTTTGTGTGTTTGAAGTCTTCTGCTTCGACTCAATGGGATGGCGAGTAACACAGCAAGTTTGGTCGAGATTGCCCTAAAACCCTGTGACAAGCCCTGCAGCCCTGAATCCTCTTGGGTAGAACTCCGGAAGTTACACAAGATTTCGGGTTTGAAGAGTGCCGGCTTCTGAGTCAGGGTCGGCTTACGTAGCGAAGCCGTCTCGTGTGTAGTTGCTTAAGGGGTTACCGATACGGTCTAGAGTCTAGGATAGGCTTTATAAGAGCTTAGGTTTAGGACATTTCGGGGTTTACGTAGGGTTTACTGCCTTGAAAGAGTCTTGTGTCGGTGTCTCTCCGGACTCTTGCTTCCAAATGTTGGTAGCTACGTGGGTAGACTCGCATCAAAGACTTCCAGGACGCGCAATTCCGGCCGACTTTATCGGCTTCAAAGTGTCGCAGAACCCCATCAGCCACTTGGCACACAAGATATCTGTAGGCCTGCGCCTGAACCCAGGATCCCGTTTCTTGCTTTCATGTTATGTATGAAACTTTCGCTGCAGAACGATGCATCGAAAGGCTGCAAGGACTATGTTCCAGCAGGTTCAACCCGAGACCCTGCAGGCCCTAAGTTTCCAGCCTTTGGATCTCGATGTTTGAAGATGTTTGGCCCTGTTTGGCTGGAAGGTTTGAAGGTTGCATGCAAAGGGGCGGCCTGGGGACAGGGTGTTGAAGTTCGTGTTACTAATAAGTATGATTGGGGTGCCCTGAGGAACTATCTTCCTATTTTGCGACCCTGATCTTGTCGAGCCCGTCCAGCCTGAGGGCCTTGTGAGCAGAGTATCCTCTAGTCGACAGTTTGCATTGCCGCCAAACAAGAGCACGACCTGTGGGGATTGTGCACTAGAAGGAAGCAGACTATCCGGTAAGAAGTGGTTCGTTTTTGCTGATGAAACGCGAAACCTGGTAACTCTTTACCTTTGTATCCAACGAGAAGAAGACTAGCTTAAAGAGCTAGCATGTGAAAAGTAATGGTAGTCGCCGTCGTGGCCATTGTCCTAAAACTGAACCGTTGTGCCAAGTCTTCTTACTGCGAATTCCACCACTCGTAGCACTATCATCGCAACTCGTCAGGATTGAACTTGCCTCAAGACAACCCACACATTCTCTGGTGGTACTACTACGTACTACTACTACTAC